ACATCTATTTAATGAAATCAAGTAGCAACGAGCCTATATCGTTTACTTTAGGCAAAGCTGATGAAGACTCAAACCACAAAACCTCTTTGTAAAAATTGAAAAGAGAAATTAAACGGTAAAGTAAAGCATATTCTTCCTTTGCAGAAAGTCTTATATAAAAAAGCAGATACAGTAGTCACCAGTGTAAGAAGTTTTGTGATAGTTTTCCACACCACAATCATTTGCCTCTTGCCACAAATATATTGGCCTTTATAAACTTAAAAAGCATGTTTATTCGTCCGAAGCAATTAACAGTAATTCTATAAGAGAAGTATGTAAATAACCTGGATAAAGGACTCAATCTTAGAAATCGCAAATAAGACTACAAAGTAAAACAACTGCTCAAGAATTGGCACAAAGCTTTTATGAATAGTCCTCCAACCTTAATGCAGCGGCATAAATAGTTGAAAGGAAGATGCCTTTAATAACGTAGTAGTTCTCAAACACGGTCATCACCATGAAGGGCAAAAGTTGATCTGGCTTAGATATGTCCTTGTGCTTGATTGGATCGCAACCAGCAAATACAGCGTAAGTGACGAGTGCGCAACCGAGTTGAAGAGCAAAGAATAGTGCAGTCAGGGGGGCATTTATGATGATAGCTCTGAAAGTTGGAAGCAAGTAGAATGATAATAAGAATATGCATACTTGAAAAGAAAGATAATATAGGTATATAATCGTAAAAAAGTTTTGAGTAAAGTGAATATTTCGGACTTGAGTTAAATGATATTCAGAGTTATTGGGGCTACAAGATAGGAGAAAAAAACGTTAACATAAAAAATTGGAAGTTAGGAAATTTTGAAATGTTTTCAGCCTTTAATACCCATCTAAATAAAAAGTCTGAAAAATATAGAAATTCCCACAAGGGTATATTAATCATTTTATTTGCTTCTGTCCTAAAGAGGCTTTTATCGGAATATATCAGTAAAATGATTACTTCTCTATGCTGAAGACAGAGTTATACAATGAAGAACTTTTGTGACTAGATAAAAGAACAGAAATATAAGTAAAGGTAATGTTAATAATATATAATATAGATAAAAAATAAATGATGCTTTTTTAACCAAGAGAAATTAGATTTTTTTACTGAAATGCCTAAATTAGGAAGAGAGAAAGATGCAAACCTATTTAGTTTGAAGGATTGCAGAGTCAGAAACACGATAATATGAAAAAGTAACCACCCCAAGATATAGGTGAGATAACATGTGGCAATGTAGACTAAAGTAAGTAGTTAGTAGTGACATAGAAGTGTCACAAATAAAAGTATACAAATAATAAGGGTGTGGAAAAAAGTGATTTAAAAGAGAGCCTGAATGTTATGACGAAAGGAGACACTCTTATAGAATACCTCTAAACACCTTGATACTTGCGAATGAAAAAAAGTACATATGGACGATAAAATAGAATGGTAATAAAAAAATCTGACTACTTAATATACTATTAAAACAGTCGTAATGAAAGAAAGAAACAAGTGATAAAGTAAAGAAAGAATATTATAAAGTAAGTAATTAAGCATTATCCCATATGAACCGTCTGACCGTGCTTTCGTAGCCTGGTCGTATTTTCATAGACTTAGATGAACACATCATGCCCAGAGTCCTCTGTCATAATATCTACGATAATTTCCAGCTTCAGACCTCGGACTTAGTATATTACCAGATATCTCGCAGGAATCGTAGTCTACAATCTAATTCATCCAGGTCCTATAGGAGTTGCCCTTATGACACCATCTCTTATCAATTTGGTTCAATGATTTCGCCTGAGCACTGCCACCACATCTGCGTTACAGGAGGCGCCATTTCCCACACTCTGCCCCAAACCTTTGATACCACATATACTCTAGCCTCACTGAGTAGTCCTACAAAGTATGGATTCTCAATCTAGATAAAAAATTAAATTAAAGCTGCATTATTCCTTAATACGGTTCGGCATATTCACCAGATGAATCTCGTATTTAAGCTTTTATTTACGGACCATGCACATAATCAAACCCGATAATTGTAAGCCAACTAACTATCATCCTCGCTGCATCTCAGGAGTGTACTTCTGGTCCCATTAACCGCGTGCTTCTATCCATAATGCCAAGTCCATGCATTTCCTATCCCCTAGTTGCTTGTATGCCATTCTACAAATGA